GGTAAGCAGGCCCTCAAATTCAATGTGCATAAAAGCGTGTGGGGACAGAGGGAGGGTGGACTACAAAGGGGCTCAGGGGAATCTGGGGGGCACAGACAGACTGCTCTAGATCTCGATTGTGGTGTGATTACTTGATCATGTATGTTTGCCAAAACTTGCAAAACTATCAATATAAAGAGTAAGTCTAACTTTAAAAAATGAAAAAAAAAAACCCAATTATATAAAAACTGAGATAGCATTACAAGTTAAAAAAAATAAGCTGGGATACTATTGTGGGAAAGTAAAATATTTTGATCCCCAAATATATTTCTTTGACATATTTCAAGTTATGCTTTTTCTTCATATTGATCTAAATTTGTCAGAGATTTTTATTAATGAACCTTCAGGGGAGAAGAGGAAGTCTGCCCTTGGCCCCTGTAGTAGGTGTAAACTGGGCCTGTCCTGGGCAAACAGGGACGTCTAACCACTCACTCTAAGGTCTAACACATAGCCTTGTCCATCACAGATGCTCAGTAAATAGTTGTGGATTGACAAGGAAAAGCACTTGGAGATGTTTGCTAAGGCCCCACTGTCAGGAGTCTGTACCAGCATCTGTAACAAGTTCCTGAAGGGTTCACGGTGTCCATGAACCACGCCTGAGACGCAGGATGGGGAGCCCCTGCCTGTGCTCCTGGCACTTGGGGCTATCCACACACCGTCCCTGCTGGCCACCCCACCGCCTGCCTTGGCGCCCACGTGGTGTTCCGCCTGCACGTACCTCCCGCCCCCCACTCCGCCCGCACATTGGCTCTTACATGCCACTTGCCCACATTCCTTTACGCCTGCTTCCAGTGTTTCTGTGTGCCCTATGGTGGTTTAGAGAGCATTTAGGGGCTCCAGGACATGGGAGATGCTCCCCAGGATTCACCAGATGGCACAGCAGAGCACCCAAGACCAAGAGCTTGAAAACTGGCACTGCCCCACCTAAGTCCCAAGTTTCTCATGAATGAACAGGGGGTGGGAAGGTGCTACTAACTCCCTGACAGGGCAGCTGGGAGGACTCACCCTGTCACTAAAACCAAAACTGGTCTTATCATCAGCATCTTTGCTCCCTGTCTCCGCCCAGCCCCAGCTCAGAGCACTGAGAGCTGGAACACTTAGCTCTGGGCTGGGCCCACCACCTGCCCCACCTGCTCAGCTCAGGGACTTGAGAGTACAGGATCAGAGCCATCAGGGGACTTAGGAACGGAGGAGGATGCTACAGCGAGGCCCCCTTCTCTCTTCCTGGCGGCACCTTTACCTCTTGAGAGAAGCCAGATGACATGGCTGGAGATGCAGCAGGAAGGAGACCCTTGGCGGGGGAGGCCAACCCCATGGGTGAGGCCCCGTGGAGCAGCTGTATTGCCGGTTTCCCTACAGCAGCTCCGGCTCAGGGACCCACCCAGACGGGGGCCACGGGGTAAGGAATTGGAGGCTGGCACTTTATTTTCAAATAAAACTTAGGCTCGAAAAGAAGCTGATGCTTGTCTCATCCAAATTAGTAGCCAGAGCTAACGGAGGCTGGTAACAGGGTGGCTGACAGGCGCTTGCAAGCAGGCGGGCTCTCTGAGTAGTCGGGACCCGTTTCCTTGTTGACAAACACACGCTGCAAGACAGGAAATTACCCTCCTCAGTGCCTGTTTTATCTCCACTTAATTGCTGTTTGATAATAAATTACAACATCGAGTCCATTAATTAAGCCAACAATGTCCGTGGAACTCCAATTTCTTCTGGGAGGTGCTGGTTACAGGAGCGCTGATTCAGTCTCTGTTTGAGTACAGCACTTGGGCAGCAGTTTAAAGAGATAACAAGGCCTGTGCCTGGCAGGGGACTCCTTGCAGAGAGGGTGTGGGCTTGGGAAGCCGGAGCTTGGTGAACGAGCAGAGCGACAGCCTGGCAGCTGTCTGTGCGAAGGCTGCATCAATTTAGAACATGTGATAGAACAGAAAACAACATTAGATTTACTTTTAAAAATCAGCTGATGGAAAGCAACCAGGGCCACGTGTAGGTGTTCACCCTAGAGCTGGGGCAGCAGCAAGCAGCCTAATTTGGTATCGTTCCCTAATCAACTAAATGGAAGGAGCATTCGTTAGGAAAAGTTATGCGTGCAGGTGGAACTGGTGAAAGATAAATTCCAGTTATTTCCCAGCAAAGACCTGGATGCTGTGCCGTGAATGCCACTATGTTCCCAGTGGGAGGGGAACTCAGTGCCAGCTCCTGCCTGGGCAGGGAGTAAGTCAGTGGTCATCTTTAAAAGTCGACCACGCTGTCTGGGAGGTGGGTGATTTGAGCATTCCTGTGGGATCTGTCCAGCAGGTGGCCACTGGGCAGGACCCTGAGGGAGCAGACGAAAGAGGAATAAAGGACCCGGACAGAAGGTTAAGGAAGATCAAGTTCGCAGGGTCTGCCCAGACCATGTTTGGAGATGTGGGCATCACAAGGGCATTAGAGGGTGCCTGGGCAGCCAGGGCAGGCGGGGAGAGCAGAGGCGCTGAGAGGAGGAGGCCACAGGGCCACAGAAGTCACTGCAGCTGCCTGAACGTCCTGGTCCTCAGGCTCAGCTGAGCGCTTCCTGAGGAAACCTTCCTCTGGAATACCCAGAGCAGAAGGTGACTGCTCAGGGCCCTGTGGGGATGCCCTCAGATCTCTGGGAGACGTTTACTAGGTCACATTCTCCTTCACAGGAGAAGCCGGCTCCTCAAGCCGGGTTTTGATTATGCAAATATCTAAATGGGACAGCGTCCATCACAGTTGGTGAGGACTCAGTTCCAATGCTGCTGGATCAGAAGGCTGGAAAGAGAAGCCCGGCAGGTAAGAGTCCTAAGAGCAACTCCTGGCCTTTACCACATATGCAGGTGGAGCAGGTGCTCAGGAGTGGGGCTCCCGGGCTCCTGCGGCTTGCCCTGAAGCTGCGGAGGTGGCACAGGAAGACAGGGTGGGGTTTGCACAGGCCCCGCGTCCCACCCTCGGGCCCCCTCTCAGATACCTGAAACTGGTATCCTCAGTATCACCAGTTTGCTCTCCCTCTCTGAGCCTTCGTGGCCCGAAACACACTGGGCTGGACCACCGGCCTTGCATTCGGCCTGTTCCAAGCACAGTTTCTTTCTTAGCCCCTGCAGGACGAGCTGTGCCAGCCCAAACACGTCGCCCCCAGGTAGCCTCTCAGAGGCGCCCCATCACCCTTGGGGCAGGTCTCAACTCCTCAGACCAACAGCAGCAGCACCACCTGGGAACTTGTTAGAAACACAGAATCGCAGCACAGCAGACCTTCCGCACCTGCCTCCGCCTCTCGCTCAGCCTCTCGCTCAGCCTTGGCTCTCTGCACGCCCTTCCCTCTGGCGCTGCAAGCCCAGCCAAACCCCACCACCTTGTGCCTCCCAGCACCCAGCACCCTGGGCTTCACTCGCTGCCTGCGGGTTTCATGCCTCTTTACTTCTCTCCCTCTCAAGTGTAAACCTCTCAAGAGCAGGGACTCTATCTTATCAACTGCCTGTACACAATTGTGACTAGTGTCTACAGCAGTGATCAAGACGTCCTTGGTGAGTGCACGAATGAGTGAATGAATGAATGACGCATGGGTGGGGACACACACTAGATTCTTTAGTCCGTATTGCCTCTACTGCTGATGCCTGTTTCCAGTGGGCAGTCTTCAGGGACAGGAGCAGGTCTAGGTGTCCTGGTCATCCTCCTGCTCCCACGGGCATTTTACCAAGTGGTGGTGGGGCTCCATAAATAATCCTCAATTGAATGGATTTGAATTTAAAACATTTCAGTTGTCCTGCCGGGCCTGGGCTCCAGGGTGCTTTGCTCATCGGCACTTGCCTTCTGTGCCTCAGTTTTTATCTCCCAGACTTGCTTCAGAGATCAAAGTTCTCAGGATTTGACCAGTAATCTGTCTGACGTGGCTCATCCACCTTTAGAGGGAGCCTGAGGGTCTGGAGCAGGAGAATGACCTGTGGGGAGAGTGGAGGGACACAAGTCTGCTCTTTCTGGAGCTGGTCACATGGAAACAAAAAACTGCTACAAGCAGACAACACCATGAGCCTCTGTGCGTGCACAGTGGTGTGTGTGACTGACAGATGTGACTGTGCGTGGGAACGTGTGCACTCACACATCACGAGAGAGATGGGGACTCACGGGTGCATTGGCCGGTGACTTCTGTTGCGGACGCACCCACCGAGGCCCACAGGAGAGAGCACCTGTGAGTCTGACGGAGACCCGACCACCCAGTGCTCCTCTGGAATTGGACACGACGCTTTCCCAGTCAGTAGCCTGCCTTTTGTTGCCATTGGTTGACATAAAAATGTTTACAATTTTTACAAATGTCAAATCCCATCACATTTTTGGACGCATTTCCCCCCGAGCTTCGAGAGTTTCTGTTCATCTCATTGTGTGCACACACAAGCACGTGCACACACACGTGCACACTGCTGGCCAGCACAGAGCCGTCGGGGAAACTCACCTGTCGGGGCTCTTTGTTCATGTGTCGGTTGGTTGATCGTTCTGCCCTTTCCATGTTATCCCGAGCGTTCTCTGAAATGCACCTGCCAATGCCTTCACCCTCCCAGCAGCGCTCTGCTCCTGCACACACTTATGGCTGGTCATGCTACCACCACCCTGCAATGGTCTTTCAGGAAGGACAAATCACGGATCTGCTAACTCCTTCCCCGATGTCGTAAGCAGGCACGTTTCATATCATGACAGTATATGCACATATGCTGTATATCTGCACATAGCACATCACTCTGCAGCTTATTCACATTTTCCTTTCAGTATGAAACGTGCACGTGATCCTTGTAAAATCTGTGTTGATGCAAGCACTTACGAATCTTTCCCTAGCTTCTTTACAGCAACAACCAGAAAGCCTCCCACCTTCTCCTTAAAATCGTGGAATAGGTAACAACTACCAACTAGATGCCAAAAGTCCCGAAGCCCTGCGGGCTGGTGACTTTATTTCCTTCCTGGTCAGAGATGGCTCCTACCTGTGGCCCCCAGCCATGGCAGGGGTACAGTATTGCCGTGTGGTTCTCCAGAGGCCCCTGGTCCAAGCAGACGTCTTTCGCCTTGTTGTTGCGAAGCTGCAGGAAGAGAAGAAACATCACCCCTCAGAGCTTATCTTGTGCAGGTGCTGCTCCCCAACCACAGTTCCACCACACCTTCCCCATGATAGGGAGGACCAAGGCTCAAGTCTACGAGGTGATCACTTGAGCAAGAAAGCTCAGGCCCTCTGTGGGTGGTGGGGTGCTGGCACTCCACCCGCATCCTGGGCAGCCTGGCCCCACACTCAAGCTTCTCCATCCCTAGTATCACAGAGCATCTCAGGGGAATTTTCGAACATAGGAAAAGGCACCTCAGAGAGGGGTCACGGTGGCGACTGAGATGTCTGAACAAATCCTAAGTGGGCCTCGGCACCAGCACTTGTTTTAATAACCTTGAGGATCACAGATTAGCTTCTCAGGATGTTACTGGCATACAGGCATAATAAAAACCAGTAAAAAAAAAGAAACTTATCATGGGAAGCTCTAGCAACATTTATTTATACATCCAAAAAAATATGCATTGGATGTCTATGCTATGCACCATTCTAGGTGTCTGGAATGCACTGTGAAGGGAACAGTTTCCACCCTGTACTTGGGCATGTCTCTTTGCAACTGAGGACCTATCTGATTTGGACCTCCAGGTGCACTGGGATTCTGCACTGGTATCCATCCCACCACCGCCCTACAGTCTTAGTGAGATGGTCTTCCCTGTATATATTTGGTCCCCTCAGGATTATATTCTCCATGGAAACCAAATTAACCTGGGATAAATCAAGAAGAGGGGCAAAGGGGCACCCTATTCTTCATTCACCAAATGTGTCTGGGCGCAGACATCTGAGCAAATTTTGAAGGATTTAAAAATATTTTTAAGTTTATAGAGATAACACCATCTCATTGAGACATTTTGGAAAATATGGGTGAAAATAACAATGCTCACAACCTTTTCACACACTCAATTGCTTTTTTTCCCCCCAACTTTTGGACAATTTAGTTTTGTTCACTTCTGGTTGTGATGAGCAATTTTACGCATACGGCTTTGTTCACACTTCAGATTTTCTTAAGAACAGAACCCTACACTGGGATTACAGTATCAAAGGCATGAACAACCCTAATGTTCTTAAAACACGCTGCCTGACTGCCATCCAGAAGCTTTGAACTAATTCACACCCCTATCCACAAGGTATGTAAATACTTATCAGTCTGAAGGTTTTGAGAGGTGAAGATATTTTGTTTTTATAAATTTACTGTCAGTAGTAAAGTGGAATGTTCTGTGTTCAGCAATCATTTCCCTTTCTGAGAATTGTCTGTTTATTTCCCTCATTGGGATCTTAAGTGGCTTTATCATAGATTCGTAAGAGATCTTTACATATGAAGGACATGAATTTTTTTTGGCATATTTGTTCTACATAAATGATTTCAGGCTCCTAGCCTTTTACATTTTGTTTTTGAGGTTTATGCAAGTGAATCTATCATTCAGTAATTTAACAGGTATTTACTGAGGGCCTGGTAAGTGCCTGGCACCGTGCAACGTTTAATGAACCCAAAGATAAACACAAGTCCCTGCCCTGACGTCATGCACGGTTGGAAGGGCACACAGGCAGAGCCAGTGCAGTGACTGCAGTACTCCAGGGCTGACGAGGAGGACATCCTCACCCTGTTGAGGGTTCAGAGACAACTGCTGTGGCACGTGGATGTGCTGTTGCCAAAGTTCTGTCTTTCACCAGGTAGTGCCAACATGGATTTTGGTTTATATTATCATGCTGTACATTTATGCTTTAGACACACTGTGTGTTATTTCACATAAATAAGGGTTAAAAGAAAAAAAGGTGAGTAAGTAAACTAGGAGCCAAGGGCAGTTCAGACCACAAGGATAGTATGAGCTGACCACAGGATTCTGAGCAGAAGAGTTGGTGGCCCCGTGTTTTCATGCACAATGAAGTGTTTTTGTAGGTGCAAAGGCAACATTTCATCTTTGTAAGAGCTGGGATGTAAAGCATCCCTATATCTCTCTTTAGAAATTATTTTAAGACATCCCAGCTAATAGAGAAAAATAAAAATTTAGAAATCAAGGGGAAGTGACTTGTTATCTCTGTGGGCCTGGGCCCAACACTGCTGCAGGTTGAGGGGACCGGCCAACGCCTACTCGGAGGGGCCCGTCTTCCCATCCTACTGCGCTGGGGTCCTGGTGTGGCAAAAAGAATAAGTAAGAATGGGCATTCAAAACAGAGTTGTCTGAAGAGTGGTAATTTTTGTCATAGAATTGAATTTGATTAAAAAGTTATTCACAAAGTAGATATAAAATATATTAAAGTATTAATAACATTAGGGTCTAAAATGCCAGATAATATTAACAAACACTGAAAAGGACTGATGAGGCGGACAGGAGAAAGTGTGTTCAAATTTGGCGTGACATACCACTTGACCCCTAAGTTTGGAGGCTCAGAGGTTAAAGGTAATCATAATGTAATCCAGAATAAGACATAAACAATGCACTTGATTAGGAAATGCACTTTTTAAAAGCCAAACAACAAAGTGGCCAAAAATTAGGAAACAACAAGGAGCATAAAACCCAGAAATATTCATGGCCCAGGGAAGACTGTCCAACTGAGCTGTAAGTGAAAAATGAGGGACCCCAGGTGGGCCAGAGTGTGTAACCCCCTCCGCCTTCCTTCTCTCTGCTCCGGGGTCTGGGCATGGTGCAAAGACCCAGGAGGAGTGAGCATTAAATATAGAGTTATCTAAACAATGGTAAATTCGTTACCACACTGAATTTGATTTCTTTCATGTTAATGCTATAGCCCAGCTGAAATATATTTCAGTCTACAGTGAGCTCAGCAGGTAGATAAGGAATAACAGAGCAAATGCCCTAAAATCTTAACGTTGATTATATCTGGGAATTGGGATTTGGAGGAAATTTTCTTTTCATCTTTATATTTCCTATAGGGTGTATGTATTGAATTTATTTTTTAAAAAAGATAGAAAAATTGGCAAAAACAAAAGGCTTTCCCCCATCCCACCCAGACTGCGATCTCTCTGGTAGCTCCAAGGCCACCCCACGGTACAGTTGTAGGGACATCAAGGATGTGGATGGAGGCCCGTGGAGTGGTGGTGTACGCACAGACTCTGGAGCTGTGCACAGCAGCCCTGGCCGCCTTCTAGCATTTTCCCCTTTTTATTTTTTCTTTTTTGATAACTATTTTTCTTCTAATTATAAAATGATCACATAAACATCAGTGAAAATTGGGAAAGCATGGTAAAGTATCCACACAAAAACGGCCGTCTCACCGGTGCCCAGCCTAAAACAGAAGCTGGTCCAGTCTTACCAACCGTTTTCCTCCTGAGCATTATAGTATCAGTATTTTTCTCATGTCCTTAAACCTTTGTACATACCACTTGTAATAGCTGCCAAATATTTCAAACCATGAATATATTATATTTAACTAATCTTCAAGTTAAAATCAACAATTTTTGCCCTAAAATATAAAATCACTGAGATGAACGATTTCACTTTCAAATCTTTGTCCCTGTTTCAGATTTTATTTGCTTGGGATACGAGTGGAGAAGAAAGTATGACTATCATCAAGCTTTTTAATACATGTGGTTGAAATTGCTTTTTAAAAACCTTGTTTCAATTTGCACTCTCACCGGAGGATATGTGATTTTTCATACTGCTGAGACCTTGCCGGCAAAGTAGCAACATATATTCCAAAAATGAATCTTTGTTCATTTGGCAGAGGGAAAAAAGCAACCTCAATGTATTTCAAAATTTATTTTCAGCTCTTTGATTATAAGATAACTTTTAAATTTTCATGTGTTTTCAACCATTTGTATTTTTTCTTGTGTAACTGACCTTCCTGTGCTTTGTCTATTTTTCTCTGGGGAGGTTTTATTTTGTTTTTTCAATCAATTTTTTTATTTAAACTAATTTACAGAGCTCATTATAGAAATTGGTAAAGGGCTACAAAAAATGATTACATCGTATAATGTTGAGTATACTCATTATCCTGAATTAAGCACCACACATTGCACATGGGTATGGATATTCAGTGCTGTACTCCATAGATATATACAATCAATTGTGTTTCAATTAAAAAAAATCTCATTATATATTAATAGTATTATCCATTCATTTATAGAATTTGTGGCATACATACTTCCAACCTGGCATATTATTTCTATATCTAGTTAGTTTGTGTATTATTTTAATCTTTATGAGTTCATGTCTATTATCCATTTCTTTGCATTTCCTTGCATGGCTTTCACTCTTGACCCTTCCCCATTTGGAGCTCAGATTCATCTCTTTTTCCATATGGTTCTTTTATAGTTTCTTTTCTTTCATGTCATACTACTGTCCATTTGAAACATACTTCGGTATATCGTGAGCTGTAAGAAAATAAATTGATTTCCTTTCCAAATAGCTATGCAATTTTCCCAGTTGTCTTAGGAATAATCCATTCACTGCCCATCATTTTGCAATGCCTCCTTTATATTCGATCTTACTTTGATAACCAAAAAATAATGCATGCTTTTATTTTGAAGAAGATGAGACAAGGCAGTTAGGACCCTATTAACAACTACTGCTGCATGCCAGGCACTGTTCTAAGAACTCTACGTGTCACGGCTCACTCTGTCCTCACAACAACCCTGAGGAGCAGGCATGTTCACTTCTCCCAGTGTGTACACGAGGGGACGGCAGCCCAGAGGAGTCACGAGGCTTGCAGCAGCCCACTTGGATTTGCATCCCGCAGCTGGCTCCTGACCATCACAGAGACTGCCCCTGCAGGAAGGGAGCATCCCGTTCCACATTCCACCACTCCACACCCTGACAGTTTAACCTGGAGATGATGTACTTTCTATAAAAGGCATCAGACAAAGAATTGGAAAATTCATAGTTGTAGAAAAATGTAAACTCTCTAAGTCAAAGGGATCCTTCTTAGCTTTGGCCTGGTAGTCAGAGAGAGTCCCAGGCAGCCTGCAGCCAGCACGTGTTTCTTCCAGGGGACAGTACAGACTCCTTGCTCCCTGGCCTGTGTGTGTCACTGATTCCACCTCCAAACAGGAGCCGCAAGGAAGGAACAACATAGGTAGATGCACAAGTGTTTATATGTAAGGAGCTCTCAGCAATGGCATTTGCGATATATATATATATATTTTTTGTCTTTTTTCGTGTCCGGCAACGGATCACAACCCTCAGTGTTGCGCCCGTACCGGACTGGGACCGGCAACGGGATCGCAACCCTCGGTGCTGCGCCCGCACCTCGCTCAGCCAGTGAGCGGGAACCGGTCTGTATGTGGGATCCGAACCCTCGGCGGGAGCACCGCCGCGCTCCCAAGCGGTGCACTGTAGCAGTGCGCCACCGGGCCGGCCCCATTTGCGATATTTTTAAAGTGGAAACAACACCGATGACTATGTTTTCAAGCAAAGCACAGTATACACAAAAAGTAAAACCATATGCAGCCATTAATAATGCTACAGAAAAGTGTTCAGTGACACAGGAAAATATTCTCTGTGTATCACTGGGTAAATTTTCAAATTATTAGGCCTTGTGGACAGCATGGTTTCAGTAAAAATACGTGTGTGTGTGTGTGTGTGTGTGTGTGTGAATATACACACATGTGTGCATACACACACACATAGACATACAAGCACACAGTGTCAGAATGCCTATGTCCAATCTTGGATTCATGACCGAGAAGCTCTGTGACCTCAGGTAAGTTATATAATTTCTGTAATCCATGAAATGTTAATACTACTGTCTCACAAGGTGGAGCTGAAATGAATTCATACGTGAAAAGCACTTAGAACAGTGTCTGGCACGTTGAAAGCACTGAATAAATGTTCACTGCTTTTATTATTTTCAAAATTTTCTAAAATGCATGTTTATGGTATTTGTAATTAGAGAAAAATCCATTTGTTTCCATGTTTAGCAAGGTGATATTATCTCATCACAGAAAACCTGAGCTTTCCTTGACGAGAAGTGGTTGCAGCCCCCAGCACCGGGTGACGGGGGGCTACAGCCCCACTTCTCTTTACATCCAACTTCCTGCTCCATGTCCCCACTTACAGGTCCCAGACAGAGCTCATCATCCACCACAGAACTCATCCTCCTTGGGCAGAGAAGACCGCCACAGGCTTTTGTCCACCCCCCTTGTAATATTCATTACATCTGCTTCCCCCACCCCCACCAGCTAGAGGGAGCCTTGCTGTGAGGGCCTACACCTCCAGAAAATAGTCTTGAATGAGTGAAGGAGTCAATGAACCCATGAATGACTCCTTCTTCCTCCAGCAAAGCAATCCACAGCATACTGAACAGCAATCCAAGCAGCACGCATGCTTGGTCATAATTACCTCCCCATATGCAATGGTGTTATTGTATCTTCTCATTTCTGGGTAAACGTGGTCCAGGTACCACTGGAAATTCTTACACTTTAAACTTTTCCTTAATGCTCTTCTTTCAGAGACATCGCCTATGTCAATTCCTGGATTCTGAAAGTAGAGACAAGCCAAGGGGTGTTAGTGGCTGTGGAGCTCTGGCTAGAGAGGGGCAGGGGCGGGGGCGAGGACGGTCACTTTCAGGGAAACCTGCAGAGGAAAGGTCTTAAGCCTTGTATGCTTACTCAGAAGGCTGGCTTCAGGAGACCTCCTGGAGTCATCCAGATCTGGACTAGAGAATCCTCTTCCCTGAGGGTGGTCAGAACATGCACACGAAGCCCCCAACAAGTTACCACCCTTCTCACCACTGTGTGAAAGCGTTCCTGGGACATGCAGGTGCCGACACCCTACATCCCCAGCTCCTTCTCTCCCACATTTCCTCTGTAACTACCAGAGCCAATTATTAGAGGAATTATTTGATTAAGACAAGAAAATAAATGCCTGCAGCCACCCCGTCTTTCTTTCCTGCACGTGTGTGCTGTCTCCTGCGTTAGCTCTTTGTGAAGTTCATTATATGCAGAAGTGAAAATAATTTTCCATTGCAAAGCTTGTAATGATGTTCTAATGAATAATTCACTCTGCTTTTACAGGAATGAACCTGTAATGGGCTGCCGTGTGCTGACAGGGGAAAGTAAGGTATCTGAGATATGACTCCGCAGACTCAGCCAGGCGACGGTCGTGAATCAGCAGAGACAGGGTGCTCGCTCCCGGAATGCAGTGGCCAGGCAGCACTGTGGGGGCCTGGGAGAAGAACTCAAATTATTTCATTAAGATTTCTTCGACAGCCAAATGGCAAGTTTAAAGGAAAAGCTCTTTAAATGTCAGAGTTATTAAAATTCAACGGCAAACCTGAGCAGTGATATGAATGAAAACAGTCATTTAAAAAAGCATGACAGGGCACCCCTGGCATTAGAGACCAGAGGCCTAAGTCACACTGCCACTCCAGGTCACAACCCCTTCCCCACAACAGGAATAACAACAGTGACATCTACCCCACTGTCTTCACAGCGCTGTGGGAGGGCTGAATGAAGGTGTGTGTAGGAGCCTAAACAAGTCACTTGTAACCTCACAGAGCTTCTGTCTCCTCATCTGGAAAATGGACATCATAACAGGTTCGTATCAAGCTAGCATTTGTTGAGCACTTCATATTTGATAAGCTCTGTTCTCAGCCTCTTTTTAACTTCACGGGAGCCCTACGAGATAAATATTAACAATCCATGTTTTATTGATGAGGAAACTGAGGCAGACAGTTCTTAAAGCTTGAGGTTGTTATGGGAACTAAATGAGGTAGTGCAAAGAAGGAATTCATCACATACCTGTACACAGTAAGTGCTCGGCACCTGTGGCCTATCTCTACATAAGAACGATGTAGAAAAGCACCTGTAGTTTAACAGCTGGGAAGGGCTATGTGGACATAAGGGGTTTCAGTTCATTAGAATGTATTTCAAAAAGTGTAACAACAGTGATATAAGTTCTTCGCTTTTACCCTCTTTACGCACAAGGCTTGCACACATTCAACTGTATTTTTGCCATTCTAGGCTCTTGCCTCCTGAAACACAGAGCTGCCATCTCTCTGTGGGCACCATTCCAGGAGACCCTCTTAGGGCATGGCTTGGACCTCTACGGGTGCTCTGGCTGTGAGGATAAAGTCACTGGTGGCTGAGGGCACAGGTCACCGCTGTGCTGTGGAGGATGGACAGGGCACCCGGGCCAGGCACCGTTCTAAGCCTGGCCCGTGTGTTAGCCCACTCGGTTCCCACAAGCACCCTAGGAAGGAGGACCTGTACTATCCCCATTTATAGCTGAGGAAATGAAGGTACAGGTGGCCCTCTGTATCTGCAGGTTCAACAACTGCTGATGGAAATTATTGGGAAAAAAACAATAAAAAATAATGATACAACAATAAAAAGTAATACAAATAAAAAATGCAATATAACAACTATGTTCATAGCATTTACATTGTATTAGGTATTGTAAGTAATCTAGGGATGATTTAAAGTATACAGGTGGATGTGTGTAGGTTATATGCAAATACTATGCCATCTTATATCAGGGACTTGAGTATCCGCAGATATGAAAATCCTGGGACCAACCCCTTGTGGATACTGAGAGACAACTATGCAGAGAAGATGAGTAGGTTTCATCAAATCTCATAACTAGAGAGTGACAGGACTGGGGTTCAGACCAAGCTAGAGCACGATGTGATCCTCCTGTGGGCTATAGCGACATGGGGATTTTCCTGAGTGAGATTCTAAGCAGAATGGGGAAGATGGACTCAGCAGACAGTAGGGACATATGTCCAGGGCAGCTGACACTCTGTGGGAGTGCATGTAGTGAGAGTGAATGAGGGGTCTGGTGCCAGCAATTTTGAACAAGAACCTTCTGGACACAGTGTATGCTCAAAAGCAGGGCAGCCAGATGGACACGGTAAGAAACTTCCAATCTTTGTATGTGGATCTAGAGATTTCTGTCATGCCAGTCCTGCTGTAAAGCAGGGGTTCTAAAACTCAGACATCTGGGAACCCCCTCAAAATTCATGCATAATTTTCCAAGGATGAGCCTCTCTCTGGGGAGGCTTACTAAAGGGATGAGTGGCCTGGCACGCAGTGAGGACCACTGGTTAGGAGGTTGGGGGAAGGCTGAGGGCCCTACCTCCAGTGGCAGGTTCCATGCTATGTATACATGAGACTTGTAGTCATCCATCCAGACCTCAGCAACCCGGAGAGCATTCCTCTTGGTGTAGAAGCCAATGTTGCTGTTGTATGGTTTCTTCTTCCGCTCAATGTGGGCCACCCGGGAGCAAGGAAGGACCTCCATGCTGCCCCCACAGAGCCACACCTTAAGGTACAGAGATATCATCAGTCAGCAGAGAGGTTCCCAGAGGCAACGGCCCTGTCCCCCAAGCTCAAAAGCAATGGTTCAGCCAATTATCATGAGTGAGAAATGCAGTTTAATATACAAAGCCATTGAGTATTCAAGGCTGTTTTGTTACTGCAGTATAACCTAATCTAACCTGACTAAAACACATAGAAAAGAAGGTTTGGGAGGATTCTTACAGACAAAGTAGGTTAGGATAAAATCCAGCTCTGGGTGGGAGAGACCCATAAACCTAAGGTGCCTATGGCAACACATGAGTTTTCTAAAGTTCTCAGCGCACCACTGGCATCCATGAAGGTTTTCTTTCCCAGCTGGCTGAAGCTGTGCCCAGCAACCTAGAATGGAGAATTGATACTAAGAAACAAACTCTCTCTGTTCACAATAGCACAAGATGTATACATTGTTAATAGGCTCTGCATTGTTAATATGCTCTATTTTGGTGATGCCAAGCCTTCTGAAGGCATCCACCCTGATGCCATCATGAGCAGGCGTCCCTTGCTGTTGCTGGAATATTCAGATGGAAAGCTGAAATGATGGCTGTCTTCAAGGGATGCAGAGACCCAAGGAAGTGGGCTTCTCACACACTGATGGGCATGGCCAGCCACAGGCTCAAAGGGCTGTGCTCCAAGGGGAAAGATGGACCAGCCAATCTCTGTTGGTCCAGACAGGAAAAACAAAGCATTTCTGGTTGTCAAGAAGGACTAACTGAACTTTCTGACATGAGTGGGGGAAAGAGGAAGAAGACAGAGAAGTTTCAGGGGCATGTGAGGCTGTTCTGCTGTGAGGGTACTGTATGCTTCATATAAGTGACAGCTTGTAGGTGAGCTGACCTAGCTCATCCCAAGATGGGTCATTTTAAGCCATTCTACTTTTAGTCTCCCAGAAACCTGCACATCAAGGATGCTGGGACACTCCTGAGTGTTTACACACATCCTCTGGACATTTGATGATTGGATTTGGTGGCAAAATGTGTGTGTGTGTGTGTGTGTGTGTGTGTGTGTGAGATCTTCTGTTTCCCAACTTGGGCTACATGACAGGGAAATGATACAAATGGAAAACTCTCCCACAAGCAAGAGTCCTTACCTTGCATGCCTCTTCAAGGGGGAAAATGTGAGCTAAGAGATTAGTAAGGTATAGGTGGTCCAGACTTGTTTGATCCGGGACCTGACAACTAGGTACCCCCACATGTTGGGGCAGACCCAGCTAATGGCAGTGGAAGGAAGTCAAGTCAGGGAGGCAAAACATGGAGAGACACCTGTGTTGGAGGATAAATCAAGGTAGCTGAATTTCAAGGGATGGGCAACATACAAAGATGCAGATGTTGCAAGATGTTTGTACAAACATACAAACAAAGATGTTGCAAGATTCAGAGAATGAATGGAAAGATGTCCCATGTTCATGGATTAATATTAAAAAGACTTAATATTAAGATTAAGACTTAATATTAAGATTGCCATACTCCCCAAATTGATCTAAAGAGTCAACACAATATCCCAGCTGGCTTCTTTGTAGAAATCAACAAGCTGATCCTAACATTCATATCAAAACACAAAGGACTCAAAATAACTAAAACAATCTAGAACAAAGTTGGAGGACTTCACTTCCCAATTTTCAAACTTAATACAAAGCTACCATAATCAAGACAATATGGCACTGGCATAAGGATAGACATATAGATCAATGGAATAGAATTAAGAGTCCAGAAATAAACCCTCATATTTATGGTCAATTGACTTTTGACAAAGGTGCCAATTCAATGGGAGAAAGAACAGTCTTTTCAACATGTTGGGCTGGAACAACATCCAAAAGAATGAATATGAATTCCTACCTCACAAAAATTAACTCAAAATGGATAAAGACCTAAAAGTAAGAGATAAAACTCTTAGAAGAAAACAAAGGTAAATTTTTGTGACCTTGAATTAGGCAAATGTCCAATAACCAATGAATGAATAAACAAAATGTGGTATACCCATACAACAGAATATTATTAGGCAATAAAAAATGAAATACAGACACATGCTACAATATGGATGAATCTGGAAAATATGCTAAGTGAAAGAAGCTAGTCACAAAGTTACATATCATACGATTCCATTTATATGAAATGTTGAGAACAGGAAAATCCATGAGAGGAAAGGAGATCAATGGTTACTTGTGGTAGGGGAGGGTTGGAGGAAGAAGGAGAGACTGCTAATGGGTGTGGGGTATTTTTAGGGTGGAGGAAATGTTCTCATATTGATTATACTGGTCTTTGCACAACTCCTTGACTGTACTAAAAATCACTGAAGTGTACACTTTAAAGTGTGAGTTGCAATGGTGTGTGAATATCTCAAGAAAGCTGTTATAAAAATATTGAGAGACAGACAGACATAAAGAAAAATCCACAGATAGATGGGGAAAATGATTCAGGAGATGCGTCTCAGTTTGGGGAGGCTCAGAAGGATGGACTGAAGCAAAGCAGAGCTCTGTGGGGACTAGTTACAGAGCAGGGATCACAGATTCAGGTGCAGAAAGGGCATCAGCAAAAGTCTAAAACCAAGTCATGGGCATGGAGGTGCTAGGTGGGAGCAGAACCTGCAGCCAGGCTGACTTGGTCCCACATCCTCCATAAGTAGTCCAGTCCAAGGTCAGGATAATCCCAAAGCCTGGGGTGTACCCAAGCTCATAAGCAGGGCCAAGGTGCGTAGCTGTTAGAAATGGAGGTGGGAGGGCAGAGAAGCCAGACTGTGTCAAATGCTGAGCCCCTTAAGCAGGTGGAGGGTAATGGTGCTCCTCCCTGGGCACAGGCAGCTCAGCACAACTGTCCCACATGGCAGGGACACTTGCTCCTGTCCTGGGTTCTGCAGGCTGTTAGATGTCATAAAAGTACATCCTTCTGTGGGTGCAGCAAACCTAGAGTGAGTTACCAGGATTGGTACTGGCCCAGGGATCCTGCTGCTGGCCTGGATATCTGTGACAGCTCCACCCCCTGGAGTGTATTCTTGCTACAATCCCTCCTGCCCAGACTAGTTTGACACCTCAAACTGCCACAGTGTCTCAGATTGGATTTAGAGTCCTAAGTTGTAGAGGATTCATAAAACATATGTACTTCACAGGGCCTGGTTTTCCAAAGCCTTGCAGTTTCAAATATTGACCTTGCAGAGGACAGGAAATTTTCCTCAGGCTATAAAGTCTCTGGTGTGAGATAAAGATTTGTGGCACAGCAAGGTTGCTGGCTCAAGGACAGACTAGTTACTGATTGACATGTAAAAGTTACTGGGAAGCTGCTGGAGGGAGAAGGAATGTTTGCTGGATCAAGCTTTTGTTGGTGGATCTCTTAATTGTCTAAGGGAATGTCATTTGACTTGTTTTTACTGAATGTTACCAGCTTCTATTTTTAAACTTGTTAAATGGTACTTAGGAAAAACCACACCTATGTCTCTTCCTGTAACTTCTTGGTCTGAAGAATAAAGGCAGGAAGAGAACCCCAATTTGGGGTAAATTTCCCAAGGAAGGGATGCCTCTTGCTTGAGGGTTCTGGGGAAGTTAACCACTTCGGGGCTTCTCACTGCTCAGAAGAGATGGACTTTGAGTAATCCTTTGTGGCTCCATCACCGAGGGGAAGTGGGGCGACAAATCCCTGGGGGGCAAAGCAGCACTAAGTGAAAGTGACATCCATGGAGCACTGAAACTGCAAATCACTCTCAGAATATCAGAGAGAAGAGGCAGTTGCTATGGCCTGAATATTCCCTCCAAAACTCACAAAGAAGTTCAATTGCCATTCTAACAGTATTAGCAGGTGGGGACTTGTAGGAGTGATTATGGCATGGGGTCTCCACCCTCATAAATGGATTAATGCTGTCATCGTAGGAGTGTCTTCATTGCAAAAGTGAGCTCTTGTGCCTTCTCACCATGGGATGACTCTCGCTAGATGCCGGCACAATGCTGTTGGACTACCCAGCATCCAGAACTGTGAGCCAAATAAACTTCTGTTCTTTATAAATTACGCATCTGTGGTATTCTGTTACAGTAGCAGAAAACAGACTAAGATAGCAGTTCAAAGCAAAATTTCTTTTAAAAAGAGAAAAAGAACACACACACACACACTGGCTGTGAGAGGAAACCAAACCCAGCCCTTGGGCCCTCCCTGAGAGGCAGCCTCGGCCCTGGAGCAGGTTCCAGCAGGTCCCCTCTACCTTTCTCTCTCCCATCCTCCACTTCCACAGACCCCTCCCCTCAGAGAGGCCAGTGTCCCCCTTCTAACTGCTCCAGACCCCAGGAGCAGCCAAGTAATTACTGCCAAGCACCAAATGCCAACTACCTCATTAGATCCTTACAGATGAGGAAACTGAGGGTCAGAAAGGTGGAGTAAGTTGTTAATAATCCCACAATCAGTGACTGTGAGCAGGAGAACTGTGCACCCAACCACACATTGCAGAGCAGCAGGCCCGCCCTGCTGACGGGCACCGCAGGCATGACCCCCACCCAGGGAGAGCTCTCAGCCACAGCCTCATCCTCACGCAGGTGCCTGGCTGCCGCCTCTGACCTGCACTGTAACCAAAGTGAGCGAGGGTCCTGTAGGGCTAGAGCAGGGCGTGTGCACATTCCCCAAGGAAATGCAGTGGGTCTGTGGTGGCACCAGTGACACCCACAGGATTCGAGTCAAAGCCTCGTGCAGCACAAAGCCATGTGGCAGTGTGCACCATGAGGGAAACCAGAGGAGCCATGGGCTGAGTGAGTCTCAGGTCCTGGGGGCTCTGTCCTGAGCTGGCTGGGGTGGCCATGGACAGAGCTTGTGGACCAGCTGGCTCCAAGTGACAATGAGTTGATGTGACATCTGCCTGTGGTCAAAGGACAGGCCCAGATGACAGAAGTGAAGAAATGGAAGGAAGTGGACTGAATGCTGTGAGCCTTAGCAGCAGCCCGCAGGTCAGCCAGGGCCACTGAGGGCACTCCAGAGAGGACTCTGACTCTGCTGAGAA